AGGGACCTCCAGGAAGGAGGGTCTGTGTCAGCTTTGCTACTTTCTGCTCTTCTTCTGTTGTAACAAAGGCATAAGGAAATTCTACAAGTTTCAGGTTTGTAGAAGATTTCAAGCTTTCCGGGAAGGCAGGCTTAAGAAACAAAGTAACTAGAAATCCCTGTCCTAATTAACTCACAGATAAAAGCATCACCCAGCTGGGATAATGGTACCACACCACACAACACTGGCCCAGCCCCAACCCTACACCTGAATGAACTTCTAACAGTCAGAACGGCTGTTTGGAGGCCATGGAGATTTGCTTAGGGTTTTACAATTTTACTGTCAATTACATTTTAATCACTTATGCAATTATTATATTACCAATGCATCTATTAATTTATTTTAAAAGAACCAATTGAAGTCTATAGTCTTATAACGCCAACCTAGCACATTTCCTTATGATAAAAACGGGGCCTCACTTCTAGATCATGAGCCCCAAAGTTAAGCCCAAGACACATGTTAACATCAGTGATTGATGTGTACAAAGAAAAAAAAAGTTCCTTCCTCCTCAATAGAGAAAGTCTCCATTTCCTTCCAACTCTTGGTTGTCCTGTTCTCTTCAAGAACAGAGAAGTTAAAAAGATGGTAGCAACTCTGTAATATTCACAACCCAGAAATTGGTTAAGATAAGAAAAGGTAGCTTGTGAGGTCACAAGAGAAATGTCCTGGAGACAGGAGACCTGGGTTCCACCTGGTGTGGCAGTTTGTAAACTCCAGAGAAAGTGAGGTTGATATGGGATAGGAGCTAAGCTATTTAAACACCCTGACCTCAGTTTACACACCTGAAAATGGGACTAGTGGGATCTGTGAGAAACAAATGGCTTAATAAGTACTTACTGAGGTACTTACTGAGAGGTTAAGGCATACCAGACACCCAGAAGATTACCCTCAGGAGAAGGGGGAAAGGAGGGGAGAAGAGGGAGAAAGAAGGGGAAGAGGGAGAAAGAAAAAGAAGAGGAGGAGGCTTAAATGACTCCCATCTTTGGGCAGGCGCTGCGGCTGGTTTCCCTTGGCTGCAGTCAGCACAGCTCTAGGCAGCGGCTCTCATTTTGTCAGAACAAGTTTCCAGCACATGCTGCTGACAGCTGTGGGAGGGCAGCTCAGAGAAATGGCCCTGGGGTTCAGCAACTTATAAACCTTTTCCTCCATTTCATGCCTCACACCCTCCCCTCCCTCCCCTCCCCTCTCCCCCCCCTCTTCTTCCACAGACACTAACAGCCCTCCTCACTTCATTTAGACTGTTGCTTTAGGACTAGGCTGTCTGAAACCATGACAACCTAATAAAAAAGTGCCCAGCTCTACTTCTGGAATCTTTCTAGGTTCTCCTCCAGTGATCTGAGCCCCAGAGTTGGATCTGGTACCCCTTATTTCTACCCTTCCATGTATCCTCAGAATCTGTTTCTGTCCCCCTGTTTGGATTTGTTTTACATTCTCATCTCTGGGTATTGTCTCTCAGCTTGCATTTGGTTCTTCTCATCACAGTTTAGCACAGGCTGATGTTTTAGACTTACATTTCCCAGAGTCTGTTCTCTCTTATCTAACAAACCCTAGCCATCCATTTAAGACTGCTCACAGTCTCCAAAATGCCTTACCATGGGGAGTGAGAAAGTGGGATTCCATCTCTCTTCATCTACTGAGTTAGGACCAATGTTTCTCTCCAGAATGTATCTTTGAGCTTACAACAAGACTGCTTATTCTCAAGGTCTGACCTTGAGCATTGCCTGAGTGCTCAGACCTGCACAACACTGAGAACACTGAGTCAAAATACAAATGTGTGCATGTGCTCATTGATGCATGCACATGAGTACACACACACACACACACACACACACACACACACACACACACACACAGTGGGGACAATGCTAAGGCACCTTCAACACTGAAGGTGAAATTCACTCCCAGGACTCCGCTTGTCATTTCTCTGAAGACTTTACAAAATACATACTTTGCAACACCCATCTCTTGATCTTCTCAGGGATGAAGCTAACCGTAAGGTCAGAAACTTAATACCAAATTCAGGGTACAGACAAAAGAGAAACCACTGCTCAGAGGAAAAGCCAGAAGGTGAGAGCACCGCTAATTGATTTTGTTGTTGTTGGCAAAGCATGGGAAGCTTTCCCAGGGCTGTTGGGCAACAAATGACTAAGAGTACCATGTCACTCAGAACAATGCAAAGGATACAAAATTGGGGGTCAACCATGGACACCTCAGGAGAGACACCACCTGCCAGTGAGGGCCTGGAGGCAGGCACATGGATTGCAACCCCCTTAGATGAAATTCATCATCCTAAGCATCAAGAGTTAGGAAGATGCTGCTATGTCTATCTTGTTCTGTTTTGTCTTGTTGTTTAAGAAAAAGGTCCCCCAAACTATAAAATGAGATTGGATTCACGTAAAAGTTGAGAGGGAAGGTATGTTTCTCAGCATCTGCATAGATCGCTGTATTTGGCCGTGACCTAGCACTTGGTCACAGCTAGTTCCCTGGTGAGTGAAAGCAAACTTAAGGCAGAGAAGACCAGTATCATAGAGAAGGCAGGCTCAGCAGAGCAGCACCATGGGCTCTGTTGCTTAGCAACGTGTTTCATCTCCCTGAGAGAAGTAATGGCTCCAGGAGGGAGGTGACAGATGGAGGATGGGTCCTCAACAGACCCATTTCTCACAAAGCTGAGGCCATGGGGATGTCTGTGAGGCAGCCTGCAGAGTAAGGAAAGGCTATCCCAGGGTCACATGTTTTTATGAAACAATGTGCTGACGGTCACAGACAGAGAGCAGACCTGCAGAGCTTCACAGCCACAGGGGAGGGAGAGGACAAGCTCACATGTACATAAGGTGACAGAGAGGGTGTGGGGTGGGAGGGACTCCACCCCCCACCCCCAGGTGACCTATGAATTATGTATGGACTTACCGCTTATCCACTTTGCCTCCGGATCATGGATTTTGAAGTCTTCACTGAAAAGATCTTCCACAGTCACCTTCTTCTTTTGAGACAGACTAGTATCTTCCGCTGGAGAGAAAAGGACAGAAACAGTTACACACTGCAGTGGTTAAAAGACCACATAAGACACTGTGATAGCCATTCAGAAACAGTTAAACACAATTACGGATTGTGGACAGTGGATGAAAGCCAGTCTTGCTGTTCTTTACTGAAACTATTAAAATTATGACAAAGCCATTATGGTTCAGTAAAATTCCCTACACATGCATGGGCACATTTGAACACACACACACACACACACACACACACACACACACACAACAAATCCCATTTCCTAGGCACATAAGTGAATATGTGTCTCAAGGCTGGTAAGGATGCTCAAGAGAAAAGATATGCGTGTCCAGAACAGTGTTCAATGGTCCTGTGTAGACAAGCTGGTTGATAGGAGTTGAAGGACACAGGAAACATCCTTCAGTGTCACCAGTCTCTGGCCATCTTTGGGTTAAGGGTTAGTTCTTGTTCAGATCAATGGACACCCCAAATGTTTGTATGCAGATAGATTCCCAGGGCTGCCCTCCTCATCTTGACTGGAAGCACCTGGGAGAAACTTAGGAAGTCGGTAAACTAATATCCACCTGGAGAGGACATGCTCAGTTAATGGTCCCTCTCAATCAGGCTTGACAATCTGCCAACTTTTATCCTATTTATGTGTACTGGATTTCAGCTCTCCCTCAGAAGACACTGTCTCTATTAGAGCTACAAAGTCCATTGCTCTGCTTAAGAAAGACACAAGGATCTCCAGGAGGCCTGAGTGAACCGTTGGAATACTCAAGGCTAGGCTGTCCAAGTTACTTCTCTTAGTTTTACTTAATAAGAGACAAGACCTTCAAGCAAGCAACCAGAACACAGCAGCAACAGTGCAACAGCCTCAAGGCTGCCAGGTCTACCTCATGGCCAATAGGAATAATACTGAAGGAGGAATTTGGGAAGGCTTTCCTAAGGAAAGAATAGTTTAGCCCAGATATTGGCAACAAAAGAACATTCACACTAGAAAGGGCTACAAGGCAAGAACTGCCAGTAGGTTTGGTATTTTGAGGACAGGGTTTATTGGCAAAGCAGACAGCATGTGCAGGAAGCAGCTCAAGACAAAGGTAGATAGATCTTCTCATTATGCTTAGAAACTGTTAGATGATGTTCTCTTGTGGGTTTCCTTTTCAAATCTGGGGCAAGAGTCTGTTGTATCTACAGTCTAAGAATAAGTGACTCTTCCCATCAGAAATGATCACAGTTACCTCATTCAGTATCACTCTGCCTGTCCTTCATGCCTCAGCTTCTGAAGCTCTACCCAGGCCCCATAGCCCCTCAGGCAACGTCCATAGCTCTTGACGGCGTCTATGTCTTTGAGCACATCTGCCTGACTCCTTCAGTCCTGTCTCCTTGATTTTGTTGTTTTTCAATGTGCCCAATGACCCTTTCACACAGCTCTTAAGTTCTTAAATGTAAACCAGTGTATTTTAATTCCTAATATTCCCGATTAGCTTTTCCAAGATCAGTGGCTTGTCTTCCTTACTTTCTGTCTTATTATCCACATCTATAGTTCTTTTCAAAATCTAAAATGATATTTCCCATTTTCCCTCTGGACTTGAATTCCTTGGGCTTTAATCCTCCCTTGGGTTAAGCTGACATTCCACTATATTGGGACCCAGCTTCTGTCACACAGGAGTCCTGGGTTGTGGGAGACTTTTGGCTGTGTGGTTTTACAAATGATGTTGATGGTTTGGACACAGTGTCTGGATCATGGCTCCCAAGCATGTCTCATGTGGCCCCGCTGCCTAAACAGGTGATGTGATTCCAGCTCCTCTCACAGTGAACCCAGCTTAGGACAAGGTGTAGGGAGACACCGTAACCACGCCTCCTAAGGGCTGGCTACAGGTGTGCCTGACGACGCCTGTCAGGGCGTGGTCAAGGTGAGGTCAGAATGACTTGTGATAGGTCTTTAAGGGGCTGTAAGGCACATGGGAGCCCTTTCTCTCTGGCCTGCCTGCCTTGCAGTCCCCGGCACGCTCTGGCTTGTGTTTGGCTGGTGTTTATCTGAATAAAGGTATCTTAACCTTACGGACTACGGATCGGCTCTTGTTATACCAACCTCCCAGCCTCTCCTCTTCACTGATATTCTCACCCTCTGTTACAAATGTGTGTTTGGATTCCATGGGTTTCTACCTGGTACTTCCTTCAAAGATACCATTCCATTCCAGGTGTGGGAGGAGCTCATGTTGCTGCTTCTTGGGGCAGCTATGCATCGGTGTGTGTCCCTCTACAATCTCTCTGTGCCTGGAGCCTCAAGCTGTAGACAAGAGAAGTAGCTAGGAGCTTTGACACTTGGGATTTCTCCCTATGCAAAATCAGGGCTCATTGAAAAGTAATTTTCTCTCAGCTCTTTAGCTTGATCCTAGATTAAGTATATGGTTCTTGTAATCAACTTGCCATGCTGGTTACCAGGTCTCCCATGCTCTGGGGTGATGTAGACATGAGGGTTAGTATTAAGGTGAATTGCTCAGTCACACTCCCTTTTCTAAGATGTTTTTGGGACATTGACGTCAAATAGGCCAAGGTTGGGAACATCTTCATTAGTAGGGATTGAAAAACTTGAAATAATTCCCACCACCCTAGGGCATGCTTGGCAGTGGCATCTGCAGCATGTACTCTGCTCTCATCCCCTCCTGGCCATTTTGGGTGGGGACAGTCTTCTCTAGAGTCTGCCTGTGATGTTCTCTTCCTGTGACCAGGGAAGGCCACTACTGGACAATCTTCAAGGGTCAGTGGCACTGTACCTCTCATGATCCCCACAGAATAAGGCAGAAGAGCCACCAAGAGAAGGAAACTGGGGCCACTGAAACATCATGGAACTTCTTCAAAGGTGTGCAGCAGGCAGATGGCCCCGCCCAGGACTCAGTTTCCAAACCCAAAGGAGACATGGGCTGGAGAAGGTGGCTCCACAGAGGCAGTGGGACTCACATGTTGAGCTCAGTCAAATGGCTTCTCTGGGAGAGCAAAGTCCTTACAAATACTTCAGAAGAACATGGCGAAAGGCGTGGTGGCTCCTATCTGTAACTGCAGCTCAGCCAGGAAGACTGTAAGTTCAAAGATTCATACAAAAACTTCTTTCAAAAATCAAACAAAAGAAAGATAAGAGGAGGAGGAAGAAGAAGAAAGGGGGAGAAGAGGGAGGCAGAAAAAAAAGGAGGAGGTAGAGAGATGGAAGAGGAAGAAGAGGCCAGCAACAAGGAAGATGCCTGTTTATACTCGGGTATTCTGATGACCTCATTCAATGCTGTGAGAGTTGAGGACACCTGCTTGGCTCTGCCAGTGTGTGTCTGCCTGTGCATCCTGCACCAGGCTCTGCCATAAGCGGGAAACAGTACTTCCCATAGACTCTATTTAAAGTACAAACCTTCACCCAGGGGCACCTGTCTCAGACACTGCTCACCCTCCCTTGTCCTTACTACAAGGAGAGAATGTTGGCAGTGTGCGATGAGACCCCAGGACAGAGAGAACTTGGCAAAACACAACATGAACCTGGGGGCTTCCAACCTCTCTCCCAGCTAGTGGCCAGCTCAGCTCAGAACCAAGAAGATGGCATCTTATACCCACACAGAAGCCCTGTAGACAGAAGGGCTACAACTGAGATCCAGGGGCACTCTCTCCTGCCACACAGTGTAACTGATGTCAAAACACAACAAAATATCCTTTTCTGCAGAATTGCTGTGGAATGTACCAGCCCTGGATATAAAATCTATGGTTGGATTGAGAATGACCTTGAGACACCTCACCTCCTGTGAGTGACAGCAGAGGGTTATAGGAAAACCTGCTCTGCAGGATGTACCCTTTGGACTGGATCATGATGGCCACACCATCTTTTCTTCTATGGAGAGTTAGCATTGGATCCTTCACTGTCTTCATACTTTTATTCTGTATGAGCTTGGCCTTTTTCCTTTTTAATAAAGGGACAGTGACTTCATCTTTTCAGGGACCTCCCGCATTGTAGATGCCCAACCAATTTCTTCTGAAAGCAGAAAGCTTTGTTCTTCCAATCCACCCCATTGCTTTTGCTGATTTTATTTCAATGAGTGTTAGTGTTGCTGCAGTATATTGTTTATGGTTATATCCACGGTTTATAAACACCACACAAATGACAATTTACCCTAAAAGTTTCTTCCCCTATAACTTCACATCTTCAAAGCCACCCATGAAAACTAACAGCATGGTAGCAGAATCAGACACACTAATAGAAACACTGGTAACTAAGCCTCCAGTATTATACATGCCCATAAAACAAGAAATTCTCATTTACTGTTTACAAAGCTTCTAAATTCAATACATCAGAAGTATCCAACCCCTCTTCAAGCCCTTCAGTACATATTTGAAATAAATAAAAACTTAAAAAATCTATTTATTGACCTTTGTCCTTTAAAGAGTTGCATCTTCATAGTACCCATAAATTCATCTTACCATACACAGATATGTGTGTATGTGTTCACTATTTACCCCTTTATTGAAATACGTATTAATTAGAAAAAGTTATTGTATTTAAAAGTAAAATAAAATAAAGTCCACGTCAGTTCACTCTGCCAAGGCTCTGCTTAGTGGGTTCAATACAGTCTCAGAATTGTAAAACCATCACTGTAAATTCAAAGTGGGTTCTATGCTCTTAAAAGAAATCCAAAATCATCAAAAGGCATCACACATCTATGTTTATCTCTACAGCCACCTATAACACTTCATTCTCTCTCTCCCTCCCTCCCTCTCCCCCCCTCTCTCTCTCTGTGTGTGTGTGTGTGTGTGTGTGTGTGTGTGTGTGTGCCCGCGTCCATGTATGTGCATGCAGAGGCCAGATGTAAAGCCAGATGCCTTTCTTTCATTTTATAATTTATTTTTATTTGATGTGATTGGTGTTTTGCCTGCATGTATGTCTGTGTGGGTAAAGTGGATTGTAATATGGAGTCAGGTCTGGATTATAAAGGTAGTTTGTTTAGGAAAACACTACTCACACCAATCAGCCTAGCCAGTTG